TAGGAAAGCCAGACAAGAGAATAGGAGGGCAGACAAAGCTAGAATATCAGGGTTAGATGACAACGTCCTTGATGACACAAGCAAAATCCTCAAGGCAGGTCTACTGTCCATGCATGCTTTCATGGACAGCAAATTGGATGCTATCCAGGACACCCTTGACCAAATACTGCGTGCCATGCAGTGGATGGGAAGGGCTTTCACATCTCCAACATGCGGGTCAAGTTTTCGGCCCCCAGCTTTTCCATCACCGATCTCTTCACCAGTGATGACAGGTCCCACTATGTCTCAGTTTACCAGTTTACCAAGTGGTACTTCAACAGCAGCAGCACATACTGCTGCTTCTTCATCTTCAGGTCCAACGATTGGCGCTACACAGCAGCCGATCCCACCAGCGGGACAACAGCAGCCTTGTTACCCCAAGAATCCACCGAAACCACCCTCAACCTTTTCGGGTGATAAGAAGGATGAGGCTCTCGACACTTGGTTGAGGGACCAGTACTCGTAATAATGAGAGTTTTTCGGTTTTATTTTTTCTTCCCTTCTTCTTTGTGCAATGGACCACCCAGTTCACCACCAATGAGCGCACACAATCACACACCATTCATGAATGAGATCACACGAAGTTCACACTGAAGGCCAAAGAGGTAAGCGCAGTTTTATAATATCCAACAAATTATCATATGATAAATTGAGAGTTTTAATCGCAAACGCTTGACAGCGCAGATTCAAGTAACCAGTCGGTGTCTTTCCTATTGCTCTTCTCTCCTCTCTTGGTCTTCGCTCTGCCTACTATCTCCCTTTGTCTTCACTCCCTACTTGCATGCACTCACACTCTCTACTAGTCAGGACCAACTCCGAATACACCCACTGCTAGCTCTACAAACGCCTCTGAGGCCTACTACTAACCACTAGGCACAACCGCAACTATGGTTGCCTTCCCTCTATCAGCGTCGAGGCAGCTATGGTTGTTCCCTTTCTCTCCCTATTACAGTGCATCTCCCTGGCTCAGCGCTTCGCCCCTCACAATAGCGCACAAGTGCACCAACACTTCCACACTTCATGCGAATGAGCAATCTGCCTGAATGAGGAGGCTAGGTTGTCCTTATATTATCTTGAACCGAGCTTCAACTCGTCTCAGCCTCCGCTTCTTGGGGCTTGACTTCGTTTTGGTTCCACATCCCCATGACCTGTTTGCTTCAGAATGCCAGGGCCTGGTACTTTACCCGAATTTTCATTGGTGTGTTGCTGCTTGGGCCTGTGAGTCACGACTTTTCACTTGTGGAACATGACTTTTGACTATGGATTGTGACTCTTGCCTCAGGGACATGAGTTCTGCTTGGGAAAGTATCCCTTGCATGTCGGATGTGACTTTTTCGATATGACTTTTCATTATGAGAAGCAACTTTTTCCCCTGGGATGTGATTGTTCATCGGGTGCATGTTGGACTTTACTCCTAAGGTACCTGACTGTGACTTCTCTGTTCGTGGAAGGCCTTTCACTCTCGACGGCCTAATTTCGAGGTCCTCCGACAAAGGTATCATCTTTACCTATCAACTATGTCAATTCCTCTCTTAGCTCTCTGATACTAAGACACAATATGAGATTGACTTTTTCGATATGACTTTTCATTATGAGACGCAACTTCTACCCCTGGGATATGATTGTTCATCGGGTGCCTGTTGGACTTGACTCCTAAGGTACCCGACCGTGACTTCTCTCAAACTGGCCCTGGGATGTGATGTGACTTTTTCGATATGCCTTTTCATTACGAGACGCAACTTCTGCCCCAGGGATGTGATTGTTCATCAGGTGCCCCAGGGTAACTGTGACTTCTCTGAAACTGACCGACTAGGCCTTTCTTGGCCTAGGACCTTGACCCTGAAATTCGAATTTAGGGTCTGAATCGTGGAAGGCCTTTCACTCTCGGTGGCCTAATTTCGAGGTCCTCAAAGAAAGGTATCATCTTTACCTATCAACTATGTCAATTCCTCTCTTAGCTCTCTCATACTAAGACAAAATATGTGGTGCCGTCTCAATTAGTTCATCTCTTGTAACCAGTGATCTTTTGAAGGGTCCTGATATGCAAATCTAACCTTGTACTGTCGTTGTTGCCTACCCCTGCGCCCAGATCTGTAAACATCTTCCTCGACAATTCGATCTACATCATACTTTCCATTCATATCAGAGGGAGTCATCCGTCTGCGAGTTGGAAACAATTCAATACTAACGCAAGGCAGTAACTTTGATGCATGAAACACCAGGTAAGTGTGCAAATGTGGCGGAATCTCAACAACATAGGAAGGACCAATCACATCAAGAATCCGCCACGGTCCTCTACAGGCAGGCAACAATTTCAGGGAAATGTTCTCCTCAGGGAGAATTTCTTTTGACTTTACTCGGACCAAGTCTTCTACAACAAATTGTGAAGGCCTGTAGTGCTTGTTAGCCTGTTCTATCATCTGATGTTGTGCTTTATTAATATTCTCTTTAACCTTTTCTAGGTCTTTCTAATACTGAATGGCAAATTCCCTAGTCCCTGGCGGAAGTCACTTCACTTGATCAGGTTTCAGATAGTCAATGGGTCTACGAGGGCGCCATCCAAGATGCAGTTGAATAGGTGTTACAGACGTAGCTAGATGCACAAAGTTATCATAGGCAGTTGCAACCTTCGGCAAATGTTCATCCCAGTCAATATGATATGTCCGGATGTACACACGCAGCAATTGCTGCAGCAGCTTGTTCATCTGCTGGGTCTAACCATTCGTCTTACGATGTCTACCCGAAGACATGGTCAATTTGGACATGTATACCTTCATCAGTTGCTGCCACTGCTCACCAGTGAACCGCGTATCCCTGTCACTAACAATAGTCAAGGGATGTATAAAGTCTTCCACCCAATGATTAGAGAATTCCCTAGTCACCAAATCGGTTTTTGCTTCAGGAGAGAGTGAACCCGACATACTTACGAAATCGGTCTACGACAACCATAACCTGACTTTTACCATTCTTGCTTTTCACTTTAGTGTTCATGAAGTCTATAGACACGGAGTCCCCGGGTTCCGATGTAATAGGCAGCGATTTAAGCAACACAAGGGGAGGCTCCTGTTCCTTGAACATACCTCGCAACCTTGCACGTAGGAAATGTAGTCATGCTTCATTCCCGGCCACGTCTAGGAGCGTAGGAGGTTCGCATTGGCCTTCCTCCATCCGAAGTGCCCCTTGCGTCACGGTTTTCCCCTGGTATGATGCTACAAATGTCTTCGCTCTTCAGGATGCACAATCGATCATGGACATTTGTTTTCCCAAACAGCAGTCCCCGCGTCACCCTACAAATTGGGACTTAGTGCGGTGTTGTCTACACCCTGCCAATCAGCTGGCTATAGACTGGGGATCACTTGCATAGCCAGACTTAATTTTCTCTTGCAGTTCGGTGCTTGCATCTAGATATGTGACAATAACACCGAGAAAGTCGGCTCTTCTGCTTAGAGCATCGACAACGACATTGTACTTCCCTTTTACTTGCTTTAACTCGAAGCCCACGTAGTCAAATTGGGCTTCATCCGGGCTTGAAGTGGCGTCCTAGCAAATAGTGTCACCAATGGCTCAGAGCTTCTCGTAGAGCAAACAACACTCTCTCATAGGCGGAAGCGACGACCTTTTCACTAGGCAGTCTACAAGACAAATTCCACAGGTCTGTAACCATTTCCATCGTCTTGCTGGAGTACAACACAGATCCCGTATTGATTGGCGTCAGTGGTCCGCGACTAAACACTGGGTAGTTAATCAAACACTTCTTCATACGCTTAGAGGATGCAGTGCAGTCCTGATCCCATTTCCAGAGAGTTTCTTTCTTTAGCAATTTGCGCTATGGGGCAGCGATTACCGTAAAGTTCCGAACAAACTTGCACAAATAGTTGGCCAGACCAAAGAAAACGCATTTCCGCTAGTGTACAGGTTAGGCCCTTGGCGTCTTCCGACTTGATCCCATCACCATCTACCATATGTCCAAAGTACAAAACCTGACGCTTTGCCCTTTACACTTCTTTCGATTAATCTTAAACTTCGCCTCACGCAACCAATTAACCACAACTCGAAGGTGCTCCTCATGTTCACTCATCTTAATAAACGGCAACAAACTTATCAAGCCATTCACGAAAGAGGTCATTCATACATCTCTGGAAAGTTGCAGGAGCGTTCGTTAGCCCAAACGACAATACCACAAACTCATAGTTGCCTTCCCGGGTCCGGAAAACCTTTTTGTGCCGATCCTCGAGCAATACCACAATCTTATAGTAGTTTTGACTTCAAATCTATTTTCGAAAAATATATGCAACCTCGTGTTCACTCAAATTCTTACTAAAGATCAGTATATCATCTTAATAAAGGACAATGTTACGATCCTGGCCAATTTCAAAGTATACATACATCAGAAAGTACAACGACGTCCAATTGCAAAAAGAAATGAATAAACTTGAGAGGAGAGAGAGGGAAAGAAGAAGAAGAAGAAGAAGAAGAAGAAGAGGAAGAAGAAGAAGAAGTTAAAAAGAAGAAGATGTACTCCAACATATGCCAATGACAAGGCTCTTCTTCTTCGCCAACCAATCTCCTCCTTATCTCCTCCCATCTTATTCAAACAAGAAACAACAATAACAATGTTGAATGGCTGAACCAAAATCAATGTCTGAATCCCACTTCTATTTATGCACAACATGAGGTCCACCATAGGCATGGCCACCCTTCCTCTTCCTCTACATACACGCCAAGGCTATGGCGGAGCACTGAGGGCTCTACCCTCCTGTCCAAAGGACAACCCAAAGCAGCTATGTCGTCGCCCTTCCATCCCAAGGTCAACACCATTAAGCTATGCCGCTGCCCACTCAACCGCCATGCCTGACTCTGTCCCAAGCTTCCTTGATGCAGCACTACCCCAACTGGGGCCTTCCAGATGCAGCGCCTAACAAGATGATGAAAATGGTGTCCACCATAGCCAAGTACCTCACCACTCTCCTCCTTGGTCCCCTGCTCCCTCCTCCTGCTGGTAGAGCACCATAGCCAAGGTGGAAGCTCTCGGCTTCTTCCTCCCAACAGTGCTGCAGTACCCAGTGCTACTCCTGTCGGCGCTCCAGCAGCGTGTCGCCAAACTTGCACATTGAAGAATGAGGTCGAGCTCTTGCCTCAGCCTCTTGATATAGCGGCCTGCTTGCCTCTTGGGCGATGACTTCCAAGCCACTCGGCCTCCCAAGCAACCGGTAAACATCTTTGCAGACTTTGATATTGCCTGCACATGGGAGGAAACATCATTGCAGACTCTGATATTGCCTTCACATGCTCTAGACTCAGACTGGTGGACTGGTACCGGCCTAGACCTATCCTACTGCTACAGGGCCTCTAAAAATGCCAACTTTGTCTTCTTCTGCTCGGCCTCGAGTACCCGACACATCTACTGGGTGCGGCACCGGCCTAACTGCTACTCGAGTGTTTTTCGGCTGCTCCAAGCATTGTGGGCCCCTGGCTCCGCTACTCGAGTGTTTTCCCTGCTGCAACCCTCAATGCCACGACCACTGGCAAGTATCGGCCCTACTCGCCTACCAAACAAGCAAGTACCCTTGCAGGTCACACACACAATCATGCCGACAAGCACTCAGACAGCCACTCAAGTCAACAGGAGCGCACACATACAAACTTAGAAAACACAGCACAATGCGGGAATCTCATCAAGGCATCCATTCCATCGGCGAAACTTCAAAAATCAGCAGTGTTCTCAGTCTCCGTTATGGCGGGTCGTTACAGCAACAAACTTATCAAGCCATTCACGAAAGAGCTCATTCATAGATCTCTTGAAAGTTGCAGGAGCGTTCGTCAGCCCAAACGACATTACCACAAACTCATAGTGGCCGTACCGGGTCCAGAAAGTCGTTTTGTGCCGATCCATGGGCAATATCTCAATCTCATGGTAGCCTGACTTCAAAATTCAAATCCATTTTCAAAAAATATCTACAACCTTGAACTTGGTCTAAGAGATCAGCAATGGCTCAGGCTTCTTAATTGTTGTGGCGTTGAGTCCCCTATAAAACAAAACTGGTGCACCGAACGGTCAGGAGCTTGGTCTAATCCACCCCCTTTTCGATCAACTCATCCAATTCCTTCCGCAGTTCGTCAAGCTCTTCTGGAGACATCCAATAGATGGGGCCCTTGGGGATCCGGCTACCTAGTTCCAACTCTATTCGGTGCTTGCTTTCTGTCTCAACCACTCCACTCGGGGCCTCTCCCACATCTGCGAACTCACGAAGCAATTTTTGCGCATTGGAAGGTATCGACTCCTCCTCTTTCTTTTCTGCACTCACTGGGCGCACATATGCAACAAACACTTGATCGGCGAGGTCATTCTTGACCACATGACGGGGGAACGCGGGGGCACTCATACAACAAAGGGACATGTTATTTTCTACGTCGGATGCATGGAACAAACGCACTTTCTTCTTCTTACCTAGGGGACTAGGCAAACAACACTCATGCTCACCCTGTTTTATGTTTGCATCCACGACATCGCCCCAATCAGTCCCTAAGATCATGTCAAAAAGGAGGTTGCCTTCCACTAAGAGTGCGAGGGAGTGCAGAACACATTCTACCTTACCCACTGCCTCCAACCGTAGGTATGCCCTAACCCCTTCAACATAACTATCTACTATCATCTCCATGCTATCCGCTAACTTACTCGCAACGGGCTGGTCTAACTTATGAACCTTCATCCCTAGGCACATCTTCTACAACCCTTTGTTGCTAATATAACTGCGTGTTGACCCACTGCCTATTAAACCACCACTACCCCCGACGTCGTAAAGTAAGGGGGACCGATAGGCCGATATTAGTATTTCACCTTCGGCCTAACGGTAGTACAGGGTTGGCCTCACTTCGTTCTTTTTTTTTTTGGTACCCAAAAAAAAAAACGAGAACGTAGCTGCAGGTCCCACCGCCTTTCGTGCCTAAATCCACTGCCCCTGACACGCATGGATGAGTGTGGTGTATATTTCCGTGTTGTGCTACAAGGATCACAACGTAGCTTTTCTCGTTTTTTTCCCCACAAAAGAGAACAAAAGAAGATCAAACGTGCAGCGCCTGAATTGAAAACCGTGCGCCGACTTTTTCACAACTTCAGTTGTTTTTTTTTGTTTTTTTTGGTCGCCGACCCCGCGCCGTTCACGGCCCTAACTCCCCGGAAAATCGACTTTAGGCTGGCAGAGGTAGTGGTGGTTTAATGCGCCCACTCTTACTCTACTGACCTCTACGTTTGCAATTAGCAACTGCCCTTTTTTCTTCTTCATCTCGGCCTTAGGGCGACGAGTGATCAGTACATCACCTATGCTTGTGAGGGAACCACCTGGAGAGGTTCTAACATAACCAACCTCCGGGCGACGAGCTAAGTGGGGGCTTTCTACCATCTCAATCTTTGCCATTGCGACCTCTGGGGAGTTTGACAGTCTGCTTCCATCCTCAGTCCCTATAGAGGCAACTGCTACCTCTACTGGTTGTTCCCTTTTGGGTACCGATTGTTGGGACAAAAGGGAACAATGTGGTCGAGGTCACCACATTTGAAGCATTGGCCGGCTGCCTTACGCTCATCCCATGTCTTCTCATCAATCCCCTTTTGTTCCCAAGGTTTGCCTATAGTGATCCTTGGATGGGTCGTGATCACATGCAAATCTTTGTTTTCTTTCTTTTTCCCTTTTGTTTCCTTCTTCCTACACGTTCTCGGGAATGACGTCACTCGGGGCATAAAAACGGGGATAAAAGATGAGAAAAGAAAAAGAAAAGCAAATGAAAGGACTTCCCCGATTAAGACCCTAAATTCGAATTTCAGGGTCAAAGGCCTAGGCCAAGAAAGGCCAAGTCGGCCGTTTCAAAAGTCACAGTAGGGTACCTTCGGAGTCAAGTCCAAAATGTTACCCGATGAACAGTCACATCCCAAGGGCAGAAGTCACGTCTCATAGTAAAAAGTCACATCAGACCGGCAAAGGACACTTTCCCAAGCAAAACTCGTGTCCTAGAGGCAAGAGTCACAATTCACAGTCAAAAGTCATGTTCCACAATTGAAAAGTCGTGAGTCACAGGCCCAAGCAGCAGCACACCAATGAAAATTCGGGTAAAGTACCAGGCCCTGACATTCTGAAGCAAACAGGCCGTGGGGATGTGGAACAAGAACAAAGTCAAGAACCAAGAAGTAGAGGCTGGGACGAGTTGAAGCTCAATCCGAGACAATAAGGACTGCCCAACCTCGTCATTCGGGCAGATTGCTCATTCACATGAAGTGTGGAAGTGTTGGGCTACTTGTGCGCTATTGTGAGGGGCGCAATGCTGAGCCAGGGAGCTGCAAGAGGGAACAGCCATAGCTGCCCCGTCGCTGGGAGAGGGAAGGCAGCCACAGTTGTGCCAGTGCCTAGTGGTTAGTAGTAGACCTCAAAGGGGTTAGTAGAGCTAGGTGTGGGTGTATTCAGAGTTGGTCCTTGAATAGTAGAGAGTGTGAGTGCGTGCAGGTTGGGAGTGAAGACTTAGTGTGATCTCGTTCGTGAATGGTGTTAGTAGGCAGAGAGAAGACCAAGAAAGGGGAGAAAGGAGCAGTGTGAAAGACAGTTGCATGAATGAAGATACTGGTTACTTGGATCTGCGCTATTGAGCGCTTGCGATTGAAACTCTCAATTGCTCGTATGATAATTTGTTTGAGATTATGAAACTGCGCTTACCTAGTCTTCACCTCTTTGGTCTTCACTGTGAACTTCGTGTGATCTCGTTCGTGAATGGTGTGTGATTGTGTGTGCTCATTGGTGGTGAACTGGGAGGTTTATTGCAAACTGGTGTCAGAGCAGAAGTTTGCTGCATCCACTGGATATTGCTGACAACGATTAAGACGGGCGAGAATGAGAAGTGAGTGGGGAGAAGTCTGACGAAGAGGGGAAGGTAGGATGAAGAGGAAGTGGCCAGTTGGGTTGGTGATTACGTACCTGCTGTGTTGGAGCATTGGAGCGATTGTGGAGCTTCACCAAGGGAACGTTCATTGAGTGAAGTGAATTGCTTCCCTAAGCCCTGTATTGCTTGCTGAATTGTCTTAGTGGTTGGGACCTTCCACATCGTGGTGTGGCTGCTGCTGGGCTGGTCCAATATGCGATTTCCCTTGAGTCTATCAACCAGTCAACTTATAGTTTTGGGAAGAAGAAGGCAGTAGACATTGTGCGAAGGGTATTCGGCAACCAGTGAAAGTTGGTCCCACTCAAGAGTTAAGTAATTCGTGGTAGGAGGTAGGTCTACGTGGTGAGGAGGTGGTGGCAACATACCTGTGCTTTTAATCGCCATGGATGATTACCCCATGTTTTCACTTCTGGCCGTGTCCGTACTCTAGGCCCCCCTCCTTCGGTTTATCTTTCCGCTCGGCTTCCAACGAACAATCTTTTCACATGCGATTTTGAAGTCTGGGAAGTCGACACAGGTTTATACAGCCGAAGAGTAGGCAAAGATAGATCACCGCCTGGTTGAGGAAACAAAAGTAGAGGGAGGAGGAAAAGAAGAGAACGGAGGAGGAAGTAAAGAAGTTATTAGAAGAAAAAAGAAAAAATGGAGAAGGATGAAAGAAAAGGAGAAGAATTGGAGGAGGAAGAACAAGAAGAAGAAGAGGAGGAAGAAGGGCTGGAAAGGAGAACTCAACCGCAGGAGGAAAGGGCTGAGAGCAGCCAGGCACGGTCGGATGGGTCAGTTCGGTTACCGGGCGGAGTTCCTAGAAGAAACGGAAGAGGAGAAAAATGCCATTGTCATAAAGATGGCCTCAGCAGCGGACGAGGCAAAAATAAACTTACTCCTAGAGGACAAGAAAGCATAATTGAATAATGAGATGGTGGTGGCAAAAAGGCAGGAATATAATGGCAAGAAAAGGATGAAAGAGGAGGGGCGGAGGTTGCAGAAGATGTTGCAGGAACACAAAGGGAAACAGGCTGCCACAGAGGAAAGACTCTCCTTCCTAACATAAAATCTTCTCCATACTAACGACGAGCTTGTTGCACTTCATCGGACCATTAATAGAATAGAGTTGCACCAAGGGAATTCGAAGGCGTTTGGAATAACTTCCTGCGTAGTGCATCACAACAAATTGACCGGCGTATATTTGAATATATAGAACAATTAGATAAAGCCCTCTACCAAAAGTTGTCCGACCCTGCTGTAGTAAGGAAGTTAAAGATTGGTGGCGGGGGAGGAGATGGAGGAGACGATGGTGATGATGGAGACGAGAAGGGAAATGGTCTCGAGAAGGAGAGAGACCAAGATGTGGAGGAGACCAGGCAAAAGATGAAGGTGAATATACCCTGACATGGAAGCAACACTGGACACCTACCTGTATGCGGAGAAAATACCATATTGGACCGTGTGCTAATGGCGAGTTCGATTCTGTTATGGGAATCAATTAGTTTTGCGATCTCTCTAATGAAAGAGGCCGGCTGTACATCCATGGTTCAATATTCTTAGAAGATGCGCAAAGAAGATTTTTTCAAGGCCCTGAGAGAAAGGTTCGAGGACAAGAACCTGCCTTGTAGGACAAAGTCCATGATCCTCAACATTAGCAACCGCAAGTGGAAGAGTGCGTCAACACTCAAAGACACCATGGGTGAGCTATTGCAATGTTCGGACCACGGACTGACTCTTGCACAAATCCTGAACAACTTTGCTAGGGTGCTCCTTGATCCCCTAAGAACTCATTGTATCCCCACACGAAGGAAAAGGGGATGACCTAGGAGAAGCTCAACAAGTTCACAGTGGATCCTGCAGGAGGCCCAATATTGCCATTAGTCAACGGACCTGCAGCCGGGAAAGAAATGGAGGGATAGAACTATTGTCAGAAACATAATAGGGAAAGATAATTTACTCGTCACATTTGAGGAAGGAGGTGTTGAGTCGCAACCTACGATCAGATAGACTACGGTCTAGATGAGGATAGGAACAATCGCTTAGCCAAGGGAGGGGACTTTGCAGCTCTTGTCGCCCGCGGGGCAGGGCACAGGGAGGACGCGGCCGTGGTAGAGGTAGAGGAGATCGCGACCGAGGTGGGGGAAGAGGAGCCGCTGCCCAGAGGGGTGGTGGCGAAGGTAGCTACCATGTGGGAGGTAGGGGTAATGGTCCCGTGCAAGGCGGTAGAGGCCCTTTCTCCATAGGTGGTAGAGGAGAGGAAACAACAATTGGCGGCCATACATTCGGGGAGGTACTGTTGTATGTCGTTTGTGAGAACCATCCCTTTGAACGAGCGTGAGTTATGCTCTGCAGTGCTGGCCGAGCCCAAAAAAGAAAAAGAAAAAAAAAAAAGGATATGGCTGTCAGTTGTCATAGCACTCCGGTACATTATGGACAGCACCATTGTGAGCGTGCCCTTAGCCAGGCCTGGCCGACAACTGGTCGAAAGCAGTTCGTTGGAAGAAAGACAAACCAGAAAAAAAGCAAGCAAAGATTTGTTTGTGATGGCTGTCAAACACATTCGGGAAAGTACAAGTGCGAGTATGTTGTCAATCACGCCATCCCTGAGAACGAGCGTGGATTACGCTCTTCACTGCTGGCATAGCAAAAAAAATAAAAATAAAAATAAAATTGAAAGAGATTTGGCGGTGATAGCACGCAGATACATTCTGGACAACACTACTGCAAGCATGCCCTCCCCTACATCTGCTCAGAAGTCGTTCGTCGGAGGAACGAAACAAACCAACCAAAAAAAAAGGAAGCACGTATTTGAACATGATCGTGGTCAGATACATCCAAAAAAGTACTAGTGTGAGTATGCATCCAGTGAGGGCTAGCTATTTTTAAGAACGAATGAACGAACATGGATTACGCTCTGCACAGCTCGCAGAGCCAAAAAAAAAAAAAAAAAACGAGAGTTTTCATTTTCTCATTTTTTTTTTTTTTTTTTTTTTTTTTGGTTGTGCTTTTGGTCGTCCGTTTTGGTTTTTACAATGCACCTGTGCCGAGGCTCCACCGAGCGCCTACCGGGCCTGCCAATATCTTCCATGAATTCAGGAAGGCATTTTTTTTTGCCTAGGCGGGGTACTGGTGGTTTAAATGAGCTAATTACGACCATCAGCAGTTTAGGTAGAAGAATGCAAAGGTATCGCAGAAGAAACCCCCCAAAGGTGGTTTTGGGAATACTTCCCAAGGTGGTTCTTCTATGAGCTCCAATTCGAGAAACATATCAGGCCAGTAGAAGTAGCTACTTCTACTCCTTATGAAGTGGGCGATGTACCCTCCGCATTTGAAGAGTTGGCCGAAGCTATGGACTCTTTCGTCACCCCACAAATGCAAAACCCTAGTGGTCCGCAAGGGACCCTCGTGAGT